TGATGCATCCTTTGGATTTGGTAAAAACACGCATGCAAGTTGCTTCTAGCGGCGACGCCAAATCGTCCAACCCAATTGAACTGCTGAAAGCGGCGATTAAAAACGATGGCATCGCTGGCTTGTACAAGGGACTCAGCGCTTCGGTACTACGACAGTCGGTGTACTCCACCACACGTATCGGCGTCTACACAAGTCTAACGGAATATTATCGCGAATTGTATAAAACAGCGCCAACAGTAAATGCCACCGTATTGATGGCAGCCTTCGCGGGCGCGGTTGGTGCGTATGCCGGCACACCGGCCGATGTGGGCTTAGTGCGTATGTTGACCGATGCCCGTCTGTCGCCAGCAGATCGGCGTAACTATACGAGTATTTTTAATGCGCTCTCACGCATTACCAAAGAGGAGGGTGTTCTGGCGCTTTGGCGTGGCGCTGTGCCGACTGTGGGTCGTGCAATTGTTGTGAGTGTTGCTCAACTGGCATCTTACACGCAATTCAGGCATTTGGCAAAGTCGCAGCTCGGCATGGGTGACGGTTTCAATTTGCATTTGGTGGCGAGTATTGGTTCGGGTTTGTTGACGGCGACCGCATCATTGCCGGTGGATATTGCCAAGACGCGTATACAGAATATGAAAATGATCGATGGCAAGCCGGAGTATAGGGGTATATTGGATGTGCTGGTAAAGATTAGTAGAAAAGAAGGCTTTCTTGCCCTATGGCGTGGCTACACGCCTTATGTTTTACGCGTTGTGCCCACAACCATCTTGATTTTCATTATTTTGGAGCAACTCAATACGGCATACTTTAAATATGTCTTGGGTGAGGAGTATAAATCGAAAATTTAATTATTGTATTTTATTGTTTTTGTAATTTATGTGTGTACTTATTTATGTAAGTGAATTTGTGACTGTGCTAAGTGTGTAAATAGAAAATGTTGACTTTCCGAATGCCTTTCTTTTCTGTCTTATTTTTGCTATATCTCTTATATTCTTACTGTATAAAAAATGTAGGGTTGCATGGGAAGTGAAAAGACATGTATGTCCTGTTTGTGTATCCTCTAAAACTTAATCTTTATCCTTGAATATTACTTTTAACCTTAATTTCCACTTTTAACTGTTAACTTTAATTTTGTTTTGAATTTGAATTTTAATATTAATTTAAATTCCAATTTCAACTTCAATTTTAATATTAATTTTAATTCCAATTTTTATTTTATTTTAAATTTACATTTAATTTTAATTTTAGTACATTTATTTTAATGTTAATTTAATTTTGACTTTGATTTTGATTTTAATTTCAATTCTAGTTTTAATTTTAATTTAATTTTTAATTTTAATTAATTTTAATTTTTATTTAATTTAAAATGTTTAATTGGTATTTGAATTTGAATTTTACTTCTAACTTTTCATTTTAATTTTAACGTTAATTTAATTTTTAAATGTTAGCCCTTAATCATTACTCTTAACCTGAATTTCTACTTTTAATTGTTAATTATAC